CCAGAGAGGAAGAACCTTTTATTTCAAACCTATGTGAGACACATTCATATAAAATTTCCAATAAAATCAACCATACATGGTTTCACTAACAATTTTAGACATAAAAATGCAAATGCCTTCCAATAAATGTAATGACTCATGAACTTCCCCAATAAAATTAAGGCAGATGTTTCATGAACTTTTACTTATTTTACATGGAAATCATAGAAAAATATGATTTTATGCTGCTGAAACAGGGGCTGAGAAGGCTGTTTCAAATTTAACAAAATATACAGCAAACTTGAGTGTTACACAACAGCAAAGAGAGCACTTCAAAATGGAAGATGTCAACATAAATTTCCCCCAAAAATAAAAAATCAAAATAATTTAAAAAAATAGCTTTTTTAACATCTGCATGATTTCAGAAATCAATAGTTGAAAAAAAATATCTGGTATTGAACATTAGTAAACAAAGGACAACTATATAGGCAGTTAGTTTAGCATTATGTAATACATATGAAGAATCTAGGGTGGACTTTTGTGTAACTGGCTGTGCTTTTCATGTTCTGCTCAGCATGAAAACAAGATACTACTCAGAAGTTTATCTTATTTTGTGGTCAGTGGCTTATTAATTGAAAGAAACTGAAGTATTTCCTCACTGAACTTACATGTTTAGTAAGACATCAAAGCACTGCTGACAAATTCACATAGATCCTCTCTGTTATTTATATGACAATAATTTGCTAGTTTTAAGCAAAAATAAGAGTCCAGTCATCAGAGGCATTAAATATTGAAGATTGGAATGCAGTACACTATTTCATCTTGATGATTTTACAGATCTTACTAAGCACAAGGAATGCTAAACTTGCTAAATTTCCAGCTTTACAAATGGAAAGTGTGAGATATCTAACGTGGCAAACTGTGCAATGTGCTTTTATAAACAAGGAATTCTAAAGCTGTAGAATCTGAGCTAACTGCTAAGTTTATAAATTGGAGGGGAGTTTTTTCTTTTGTTTTTGTTTTTGTTTTGATGGTGGTGTTGTTTTGTTTGTTTGTTTTTCCAGCTGTGAAAAATAAATGACCAAAATCATGAAACCAGCATTAGCTTTTCTCTGCTTGGGTTTTTATACAAGTTTTTAATACAGTTTTTTTTCTGATCAGTATCCTAGTGAAAGAGAAGTATTGTAGTCATTCAGATATGTGGTGAGGAACAAGCTTTTTAATCAGGTAGGGATTAAATAACAATTTATAACTTCATCTGATTCACAACATTTTATAATACTACATGCTAAAATTAATTTCATTAGCAGGTCAAAATTGGTGCTTAAAACCTTGAGGTGTATACTATGAGCCATGAAGTTTTTGTGGCAAATAAATTTATTATTTTAAACCATCAGATCAAAATTATCAATTGCAATTGTTCTCTTTTCTCTGTTTTCCGGGCATTTATGTAAATAAAACCTAAAAGTACAGAAATAAACCCAACAAATATAAACTAATATAAACTAATATTAAAAAAAAATTATGTGAAACCATAGTTCCACATAATTTAATGTCATAAACCACTCTTTTGTAATGTTGCACAGAACCCTATCTCATTATCATATGCCTTTGGCAAAACAGCATTTAGAGTAAGCTAAATATTTCATGTAGAAATGTTCTTTTTTATGTGTGTCAGTGGCAGAAAACAAAAAAACACAACACATGAGAATACATTTCTCACATCAAGAATCACAGTGATTGGTAGGCCAAAATGCGGGTAACCTTGACTCACACATCAAGCAGAACTTAACTAACAATGTAGAAATAAAATGTGCATACCTACCATCATTTTTCTTCCAAATTATTGTCTTTGGGGGTAGCATAATTATAGTCCAATTTTGCTCAATGCTATTTTATTTTTCATTATGTTAATTAGAAAATAATGTTATAAATTACATGGAAATGAGTAATTGATTAAGAAAATCCACATCTAGATCTACAGTGTTTTACTTATATTATTGTACTCACACTTTCAGTGATACTATTTCGGTTCGAGTCAGAAATGTATACCAAAAGCAGATCTGTATGAAAAGTCAAAGTTTGAATACTCTGTGTTTTTTGACATATGAGTTTCAATCTTTAATTTTCTTATAACTTACATTTAAAATAGTGCAATAAAATCTCTGATTTATCCACCTTAAGACTTTTGGATTTGCAATCAAAATAGAAATTTCTGTTTCTTTTTACTCTATCAAGATGGAAAGCAGAATAATAGAATATGAACTAATATGACTGACCAAAAAAAAAAGGAATAATTCTGGAAAGGCTGCTTTGAGTTTTGCTACATTAATATTCTACGTTTGGAGCTTCCACTCTCCCAAAATCTAAAGAGCCTCTTGTGTTCATAAGAGAACCAATTAAATTATTTTGTGCATCTCTGGGAAAAAAAAAAATAATAAGTCAAACCTGTGTATGATCTTAGAGGTCTTTTCCAATCTTAATATTTCTATATTTCTATGATTCTATGATTTTTAAAGCCAATTGCATTCCATAAAGCATCACTGAAAAGATGAGAGTGCACTTAGCAATCTTATTTGTCACTGAAGACTACGAATCAATTTCACTGAGGGTGATACGCTAATGATATGTATTAGTTTGGATTTGACATCATTTTGGACACTACTAAACCAGTAAATTCTGTTCTGCTGTGACATTAGGATGTAACAACCAGTTCCTGAAACCATAAAAAGGACACAGTTTAAGATATGTCTAAACTGTTTCTCAGCAATCTTAACTTCTCTCTTCATTTAGAAGCTGAATTAATGTTACTATAACCCCAGTATTTTTTCATGTGACCTGTATTTAGCTTGCACTTTCTGTGTGTACTCTAATCTAAATTATTCCAATATAAAGAAAAACAAACTCATTTACAGAAGAATATACATGTAGAACATGATACAGTTTGTGGAGAGTTTCGTGATTTATGCAATGATTGAACAATATATATATATATATAATTTTATAATGTGTCTGCAAAATTTGACCCCTAATTTGAGACTTACGGATTGTTATACTGAAAAAACAAACAATCAAACAAAAAAGTTAATGTTTTGCTTGTAAATATAAAGGTATTGCTTTCCCCCCTGTGAAATAGTACAAGTCAAGTCTGTTTTTTATTGTATGTTTTTTTCTTCCACACTATATTACAGCTTTAAAATTCTGAAATTATAATACCACTGTTTTTAAAAATCCTTGAAAAATATCCATGAGACTCTTGTGAGTATTTGTCTTCATTTGCATTGTATATGTTTTGTGTAGAATAAATGTGTCTCCATTGCCTTGGAGATGCACTGTAATTGTCTTAAGCAGTGTATTTCTCTAATTAAATCAAAAAGATATTTGAATGCCAGTGTAATGGATGAAAATAATTCAGTATGATGTGAAACCATCTTACACTAAAAAAGATTCTGTAACTGTGTTCTGCTAACGTACTTAGGGAAAGAAAAGCCTTTAGGATATGTCAGATGACATATTTTACACCTTAAATAAAAGACAGAATAAAGCCATGCCACAATAAAATCCAAACTTGAAATAGAACTCAACACTTGTGTACCAGTACATAAATACTGCCTGCATAAGAGCAACCCACAGGAAGAACTTGTAGTAGGCTTCTTGCTTTTTCCTAATACAAAACAAATGTTTTGAGAAGGCCAGCAAACTACTGCAGTACATACAGTACAGGAAGGTTAGCATTGTTAGGTGAGTAAGAAGCAAGCATGCTTCCTGTTTTTCCCTGCATGCAGTAGGGAATTCACTCAGAGAAGAAGTCTATGGTGATAACTACTATATGTGCAATATCTCATATTGTGTATTTACAGAAGGAAGCTGTGTTAAGAGATCTGGGATTGACTTTAGTCCCCATTTTTGAAGGGATAAAAGTAGAAACCAAAATAATAGTCCTACACTTATAAACATTATTAGATATTGAGAAGTATTCTGTAAAAAAATGTCTGAAAAAATTTTAAAAAAAAATCATTTGCCTTGAATTCATTTGGCTTTTGTTGTGCATGTTCTTACTGAGAAGATATAAGTGCTTTTTAGGGCTGCAAAGGAATTTGGTATTCAATTTAATATTCAGTTCTTTACAAAAGTAACTTATTCATGATTAATAGATTTTTTAGATAATAATCAATTATTTAATGTCCAACATATTATGGATGCTTATACCATTATCATAACACTATTAGTACTGTTTTATGGAATTGATGCCTGTAACCATTAATAACATTCATCCTTTTCAACAGAGCAATACATTTATTAATCATGTGTTAATCTGTTATAACATACATATGGCATAATCAAAGTAAATGCATGATATTTACTCAAGTGATGTATTTCAAATTCTAAATCTAATTTTTATAATAGAGCATTATTAAGCACTGAGATTTAGCATGCAAGTTGTCTAAGTACTCATGTCCTTGGTGTGACAACATTTCAATTAGAGTAGCACTGACTATTTTTTTGTTTTGTTTTGTTTTGTTTTTATTTTGGTAACAAGCTTAAAATATACAGCTACATTTAGAAAAATAATATACATCATTGTTGTTATAGCTTTCTTTGAAAATATATATAGCCAGGGAAAATATTCATGCTCAAAATAAGCGCTTCACACATTTTAGCATTTTCTCTCCCCCTTATAAATAACACAGTCATTTGCCAGTATCTCTTTTATTTTACAAGGGAATATTCTGTAGCTAGTAGATAATTCTTTTTGTTACAAGGCAATGATGGAAACAATTTTATAGAGAATGCTTTGAAGTTGAAAATGTTTGAATTTGTTCCTCTTGGTATATTGTTCCACTTAATAACATTGTTGTTGTTGTTTTTTGTTGTTTTTTTTTTAAATAAAAAAAAACAAAAAAAAAAAACAGCAAAAAAAAAAAAAGAAAAAGAAAAAAAGAAAACAGACAAGAAACAAAAGCAAAACAAAGCAGAAAACCTTCTGGGACTGAAATACTTGTATGTGTTGTTATTTGCAGTGCATGCCAAGACATTCATGGGCACCAGAGCCAACCTGGCGAGCTAATTAAATATATAAATGTGTATGTTTAAAACAGCCTTATAAGGAGCATTGGAAATCTGCAAGATGAGCGAATATCTTATAACTTCTTCCGCAGGTGCGAGGATAGCTACAAGCCATGGACTTTCTGTCCTGCTTCTTGTTTGTGGCTTTGTGAAGGGTGCTTTGCTTTAATCTAAAAGTGCTGACTTTTTCCAATATCACTTTCTCTTCTTAAAGCAAAGAGCAAATCGCCTGTAAAATCCACGGAGCGGACAGCAAAGTTGACCCTAACCTCCAACCATCACTCTGCACCCAATGTACTCTAAATCTCTACACAAGGAGCACCTTCTTCAGGAAGTACAAACAAAAATACTAAATAAATAAATAAATAAATAAATATTATAAAAGGAAGAGGATACCACATTTTCTTGATATATCTTATTTTCTTTGGAATATCACTGATCTTTTGTTTGAAGAGAACTGGTGTGATGTAATCAAATGTTTCATAACAGAAGACCTAGTTTCCTTCTCTTTCGGCGAGGAGAAGCCTCATCCTTGACTTCTCGGGGGTTAGTCTGCGAGTCATCAGTATTGTAGAATTAACCATGGATGACATTTGGCTTCCTACGCTAAAAGAATTGTTCAAGCCTAGAAGCAAACAGAGGCCAAATAATGAGATGAAGAATATTGATTCAACATCGACCCCCCAACCCATCCCACAGACTCTGCCAAAAAGTGTGTTTTTTTTTCTTTTTCCTTTCTTTCTGTCTTTCTTTCTTTCTTTTTTTTTATTTTTATTTTTATTTTTTCCCTGCATGAGGAATAGGAAGCAGAAAAGAAATTCTGCAGAGCAGCTAAGCAGACCAGAGGACTTTCTTTTTTTGAAAACAAATGAAAATAGTTTGTTGTTATTGTTATTCTTTTTTCTCTGTGGGCTTTTTTTTTTAGTATGTTTCTTGTTCAACGGTGGCAATTGCTGACTTAGGCCAACCCCTGATGACTGCGTGGAGGTTTATATATATACATCTTTCTTTTTCATGTGTGTTCTATATTTCAATGTGTTTTCTATTATTTTGCAACTTCTGTATATGCAAAACTAACTTAAATTCTGTAAATTGCTTACAGTCTGTGTGATATAACTTCCAAGTAGAATATACTTTGGTCCTCATGCAAGCCAGTTTTTAATATTATCTGTATGATGTGCCACCAACAAACATCTTTCTTTCTTTCTGTCTCTCTCTTTTTTCTTTCTTCTTTTTGACAAACCATCTCTTTTTAATTTGTAATTCTGTACTGTGTGGATTTTGTAATACCTGCCTTCACTTCCACTGGTTTGACAACTTTCAACCCTCTGTTTACTCTGTAAATGCACATTAAAATTTGTTATGGTCTCTAGACAATGAATTACTTTAGTTTTGTGTATGTTGTACTGGATTTCAGTTGCTGAAAGCTCTTTTAATTTGTGATGTTTATAGCAAATGAAGTGATTTTATCACTAGAGACTGTAAAATGCAGGCTTAATGTCAAATACTGCATGTGAAGTAAGGTTAGAAAAGGAAAACAGAAAAATAAAACATAATATGGCTTAAAGAATATTCTTTCATCAAAGACTGTTAGGAAAGTGAATTCTTTACACTGATAAACTGTATTCACAGAAAAACAACTCCTTTTACATGGCCAAAGAATCATCTTTCTTTGCTTTTTCTGGAAGTGAATTGTCATTGCTCATTGATATTCTTAATTAAAATACTTTATGTCTGTGAACCGAACATGAAAATTTTGCTGTTGACTGTAGCAATATGCATTACATGAATTGCATTCATTAATGCAGGAAAGAAAAATTGCTTCCATTTGCAGCTGCAATCAGGAAGGAATTTTTTTTCTTGTTCCCTCCTTCCACTGATGCTGAACAATCCAGACACTGCCATTTATCAGCCCAGACAATCATGTATATCATGTGCTTGTTATGATCTGTTTACAACAGCATTAAGTAGCTGCAAAGTGGTCAGCTGTGTGATTTCTCCAGTTTTGAAGTAAAAAAAAGAGAAAGTAAAAATTATATTTAATATCTCACCAGTCTATGGTTTAAAGTCCTAACATTTTATTTCAAAATGTCCATAAGGACCCATTCTTACACATTCATAAGTCTTCCGCACTAATTTCATAGGAGAAAAAAAAGCAACTAAGTATAATGCAGAATCAGAGAGTAACACACTGATGCTTTGGAAGAGGGTAACATATTTGTGCAGATCTAGTTTACCTTCCCCATGTCTTCAGTACTATAAGTTTGACAGAATAGTCAGTTATCAGTTTTATAGAAAATCTCAGCATAGATAGAGACTAAAAGTATGAACTAATAGACACAAAACAGAATGACTGCTAGAAGAAGGAAAGGGACAAAGTTCTTTTATTTCAACACCAAATTCACGATTCATTAAGAATATTGTGTATTCAATAAATCTTCCTCATTTTAATAACAGTTTATTAGCCTGCTGATAAAGCTGAATGAATCCCTGTGCAAAAATTTGGATTGAAGACAAAAAGGAAAAAAGAAAAAAAAAAAAAAAAAAAAAAAGCCAGAGCTCATTGAAGTTTCTTTCTTGTAATACATCAGGTTCTGAACCAAACTTTCAGAACACATTTTCCCTGTGCAGTAGATATCTACAAAAGGATGCTCTGAGAATCTCCCATGTGGATTTTGGAAACATAAGTTTCCACCAATCTCAATAACAAACAAATGCTTAATATCATATATATTTTGTATAAATAAAATTATATATATTGTATGAATATTCTGGTATGCACATATTCATACAGACAATGCTCAGTGACAAAAACAGCTTTATAAATGACATTTTTCATAAGTAGTTTAGCCACACATTATTAAAGTTAGCCTCTGATTATTATGTTAATTTGATACTGTGTTTTGGTTAATGCTAGATGTAAATTGCCATGTATTAGGAAATGAGACCAAAAAGAACCAATTGAAATTAAAAGTTGGATTCTAAATTGCTCAGACTGGAGTGATATAACAATTTAGAAGACATTACCAGGGTAAGTGCCATACTTTGATGTTGCTATTTTTCTTCAGGTGTCAGCATAAAAATGGATAAAGAGAAGAATGATGGAAAATCAGTGGGACTTTCACAAGGCCTTTGAATCTTGCATGAGATACTAAGGGAAAATACTAGTTTTCTTTTTCCAAATTAGATAAGTCCTGCCTTTCTGGTTGCAGATATAGACATTGGCTTTATAGCTTCTGTCAAACTCTACAGATGTCACAGCATCAGCTCCTAACAAAAGTAATTATAGTATTTTAAAATTTTATGCTGTTGCTTAAGCATTGTTCTTCAAGTTAGGAATCAGCCTTTAGCAAGAAGGAATTCTCAAAAAGGAAGTTAAGCCACAGCATTCTCTCTTCTACATACAGCTTTTGTTAGGAATATTTGATGTAGTAATAGAACAAATAATATTTTCAACATTGGCTCCAGTTCCATTTTGGGCTTAACACTAACAAAAAATAAATAAATACTTAAAAGTTCCATTGAGTTAGGTACTTGAAATCATCAGCTTACATTTAATGGTAGATAAATCTTTCAAAAGCCAATGTCCTTAATGTTTCTACAAAATAAACAAACAAACGAATAAAGAAAGAAATAAAAAATTTATTTTTGAGGAGTCATTTACTTTATTCATGCTTGTTTCTTGGCGTTCTCAAGACCTCACCCTTTATTTGATTTTCTTCAGATTTTTCCAACAGCTTTTGTTTTTAATAGAAGAGTAAGCATGGGTGAGTATGAAACGTTTTTGTATTTCAAGGAATATGCCATCTAAACACAGAACACATGTTGAACTGTTATATCTTGTGAAACTGAAAGAAACGTATTACAGATCCGTTACATATAATCAGTGTTCTACTATTTCATCTAGCTTTTGTATTACACTTACAAAAATCTCTAGCACTTGTGTAATACTAATAAAATTTAGTATTGCTACAGAGCCTGTCCTGTAAATTCTCCTCTGGTTCAGTGGTTACCAATTTTCTTCTGAACTCTGGAAGTTCATGTCTGCAATTTGTTGAGTAATATGTTTAAAACTTCCATTCTTAATGGTCTCTTCTGGATTCTTCAAATAAATTTATTGAGCAGATGATTGGGCACTCCATAGTTTAAAAAAAAAAAGACAATCTGTGTTAGGACTGACTCAGACTTTGTGTTAAGAAAGACACTGGAAAACTTGAAAGGTAAACATTGAATCTATCCTGAATTGTTGTTATTTGTTTAATTTTCAGTGTTGAATACTTCAATTAGGGCATACACAAACACAAATATTGGAACTATGTATAAACATTAGAGGCACAACAGCAATAAAATTCTTGCAGTTCCGTATGTAATTGAGTACCTCTGATTCGAGATCAGAAAACATCTGAGAACTGCTTTTTCTTACGTTAATTCCTTAAAGTGTTTTTGTTTCTTTTAAATAAAATAGAGTAGTGGCCATTACTTAAAAATAAGTCGTACTGCATACCTAATACATTTCAGTGTTGAGCATTTCTTTCCCAAGTAATGATTTCTACAATAATGTCATCATTTAATTCACCACTAAAAACAAAAAGTAGACTGCATTGCTACCAATCCTCAACATGTTCATGTTCTCAAAAAAAACCCAAACCAACAATGAAACAAAACAAACAAACAAAAAAACCTAAAAAACCCAGTTTAAAATCTTTGTTACCTGTAAGATGGGGGACATTTGTCCCTGACATTACTATTGGCAAATGTCAAACGTTGTTTACAGAGCTAAAAGCATTAAGAACCAAGTATGAGATCAATGTACTTTAGAATATAAAAATTTAAAGGTTAATCTTCCCTAATTAGCTTATCTAAACAATACCAAGCACGAAGTAAATTGCTTAATGCAAGTTATTATAGATAGCTTTTGTTCTGAGCTTCCTCAGTATTGTTTTATTTGATTTCACAGTCATAAAATTTTCACATACATTAATGTAGTTGAAAGATTGTATATAGTTCTGCTTTTCTTCTAAACAATAGAGGAAAACAATAGCAAAGAAAAAGGCTAAATTTGTCTGTAAAAATGAATCACAACCAACTACTGAATTACTTTAAAAGAAGGAGAAAAGTTATGTTTTCTTGAGGATCAACTGTAACTGAAATCTTGTTTTATTTTCTCCTTTTTGTGCTTTTCTTGCCAACACATCAGTCTAAAAAACACATCAATAATTCGTTTCTGATTACTCAGTTCTTACAGTGTTACTGAGGGCAAAATGATGCTTTCTTTGCTATTAAAAATCTGAAAAAAAATAAAATCTTTTAATTTAGCAAGCTAATTGTTTGCAGTGGACTATAATCTCAAAATATCTCTGCTGTTAGGTTTATAGGGAAGGAGCAAAAGAGAAATTTGTTTGTGTTGGGTTATTTGTCATCCTACAGCTAAAGACTGAAGTCTTTTGTACATTTCACAGATACAGTAGTTTTCCCTGTAACTGCTACTGGCAGACTGCTTTGAGTTTGGAAATAAAAAAAAAAATTGCTGCAGCTCAGCATTTATTGCATACTGTTAAAAAGTTTAAAAGAAATGGCAAAAGATAAAGTTATAAATAATCTGGAAGAATATCACAAACTGGTGATTTTCCAAAAGCTTCAAAACACAACAAACACTTGAATCAAAATGGCTTTTGGTGGGCATTTCTTTTCAAGTTTTTTTCTTTCTTTTTTTTTTTTTTGCATCCCATTCTTAACAGTCCTATTATAAATAGCATCCATTTAAATCCAGCTGTATGATGCTTATAGTATGGAGGACCCTCAGATGGAAGCCAATGAAATTTTTATTCATTAAAATGCTCCTTTACATTGACATAACAGCACAGAAAGAGGTCTTATGTTTATATGAGGCTATTTACAGTGACAGCTTATAAGGAATCTGAAATGTACATAATAGACAATTAATTTCTTTCCTCTTTTTATATACCGTAGACTTGAAAAACAAGAGAGAAGATTAGTTTTGATGATTACTTCTTAAAATAAACTGTTTCATATAAATCTTTGAAGAAGCTAAGTTTGAAGCATTTCTTACAAAAAAGATTTGTATAAATGACCTTTTAAATTATGTCTTTTAGATTTTTAAGCAGTTATATATACTGTATATGAAATCAGTGTATATATTAAGAATAGGAGATGATGACTTTGTTACTTCTGATAAAGATTTGATTTAATTGCTGCTGACTATTTTCAATGCCAAATGATTTAATGGACTTTCAAATAATCAGCAGTTGTGTTATTTTTCTATTAAAAAAAAAAAAAAAGCCAAATTTTCATGTAACCTACAATACACTTCAGCTTTTGTTTATTAGCCAACACTGATCCAGGTTTCAAAAACATTGCTTGTACACCATTACAGAAAAGGAAGAATTCATACATTATTAAAAATAAATGTTAACATACTTACCAGATGACCTCAATGTTTTTAATTTGGTGAATCAGGCATGCTATATGTTATATTTGTGTAGATACAGTATCATGTGAAGCACAGACAAAATGAAGTAAAAAATGGGTGTCCTAGCTAAATCACCCATATTTTGAGTTCCTCTGTATGACACAGAAAACAGAAGGCAAAATTTCTTCAATTTCCCTAAAACAATTTTTTTTTTGTTGTTTTAAAAAGCTCATAGCAATCAACATAGCAAAAAAAAAAAAAAAGGCTTAACAAGCAACCCTATTACATACTGTAGCTGTGTATGTTTCAAGAAATATTTGTCTTAATAGTAAAAACAAAAATGTTTGTCTGGAAATCATTCTAATCAGATATGAGATGCTGGTAAAGAAGGCAGTGGGAGAAAGCTGTTGGAGCAAAACTGATGTTTTACTTTCCAGTAAGTGTTCATAAGCCAGTAAGGAAATAAATTCTGAAAGGATTGATTATATATTTGCAGCAGCAGAAATAATGCATGTAATGACACCAACAATCCTGCAAACCATAAGACCTACTGTGCATACACAAAGATACTGTGCACATGGGCAGGATTATTTGGCATTGTTTAGATTCTAGATATGGTAGATGTCTGGTACATTTAAGACGTCTCATCTAAAATCACAATGCATGCTGCTTGATATATGCTGCTCTGGACACTGGCTGGGATTTGTCTAACTTGAAAAGTTGTTCCTTTTATAAGACAGCTAGCACCCAGGAAAAATGAATAATAGAATATTGAAAAATAAAGAATTTTGAAGAAAAAAAAATACTCAGGAATATCTCTTGCATATTGTATTTGTGATTAACACTTCTAATATGAATGCATAAAAAAGACTGTTTCCTCAACAATTACCTCCACATGTGGACTTGAAGAATACTATTCCACCTAGAGCTTACAGATGAGCTTTATTGCTTTCAATTTGGAAAGGTTTGGCAGCATTTAAATAGAATATATGTAAACAAAGAGAAAGGTAGCACACTGTGCCAAATTACTTTAACCAATATGGAACACGAATTATCAACTATACCTAGTAGTAAAATGAACTCTTTTAGTAGACGTATTGAATAAGTCATTGATTTATCATCATAACATTAAAATGCCATTTGGGAGTTTCTATTTTGCCGTGATTATTGTGTTGCCACTTTCAAAAAAGAAATAGTGACCTTAGAGCTATTTGCATTTGGTAAATTAAATGCTATTTAACATAATTAACTACTAAGTAAAAAACATGTGTATATAAGACATATGTCATGTAAATGCACATAGGATTATAGAGACAGACCTGCTAATGGCTACATAGTTCTTTTCTCAGCAGATGGATTAGGCAGATTGATGACTTGTGTTTTCTTGAGAACTTTCCAACTGCTAGGTACTTGCCAGTAGTAATATTAATACCTACCCTTGAAACATACACACAGAGTATTGTTACTATTATTTTTATTATTACTATTATTATTATTATTATTTTAATAAGCTGTTTTCCCTTCTTCATCTGACTAGGCCTTAGGTAGTTCCCAGGAATATGTAACATACAAACAAGCACATGCAGCTATATAGAAATGCCTAACAAATTAAATCTGGTTAAATATTTCCTTAAGAAAAGACACCAATGAACTTATTCTGTAAAATGATTTTGTTAAATAGTCATACCTGAGACATTTTTCAGAAATATTTACTGTTATATATGGCATAGTAGAAGTTGTCCTTTAATCATGCCCATTATGAAGATTCCAAAACATTCTATTTGTCCTGATTCTATCATGGCTTCCTCTATTGCACTCTGTAATTATTTTCTGCAAGTTAAATTACTAAGCCATGAAGCACTGCTGAAGTAGATGAGAAATACTTGTACAAATATTTTTTTTTACCAGATTAGCATTGAATATTACAATTTACTATGTGCAGTATGGCAACAAGCATATGCAATGGCAAAAAAATGTTTTAAAACAGTCACAACTACTTCTGATCATCCAAAATAATAAAATCATCTGAGGAGCTTTCGAAGAAACATCATCCAGGTAGATGGCACAAGATCAGCTGATGAACCCACACAAAGTATGTACTGCAGATGAAGCAGCTGTACTTAAAAACAAAAACTACATAGGCAATCGAGGTCTCACCAAAGCCAACCTATCACTGGGAAAATTTCTTTCTGTACTCACTGTAATCAATCATTCCAGAGAAAGACTGATGTCCAATGCGACAGAATCAACAAAAAACACACTTGTAGAGGTACTGGAACAAGCTGCCCAGAGAGACTGTGGATGCCTCGTCCCTGGAAGAGTTCAAGGCCAGATTGGATGGAGCCTTGGGCAGCCTGGTCTAGTATTAAATGGGGAGGTTGGTGGCTCTGCATGTGGCAGGGGAGTTGGAGATTTATGATCCTTGAGGTCCCTTTCAACCCTGGCCATTCTGTGATTCTGTGATTCTGTGATAGCAAAACAAACAAAGAATGTAGCATAATATATCTGAAGCAAAATACATACTAAACTCTGGAGATAATAAAATGACACCACATGTTTTTGCTGTGTGCAGCTGAGGAATGCTAGATGCAGATTTGGGTGCGTTAGCAAACATCACCAATTCCAGAATGTAGCTATCAGTTAGAGCTCTATTTCACAATGGAGCTGGGTTGGCTAACGCCACCATATTCTAAATAGCTATATGAATAATTGATATGCATAGCAAAATTCAAAGTAAAACTGGATATTTTGTAATGATTGTACTAAAATCTACAAATCCAGCAGAAAAGCTGTTTGTTTGTTTGTTTGTTTTAAACTTGTGAGAGTGATAGTAAATCTTCATGTTTCACAACTGAAGATAACAAACAACTGATGAGTATAAAATAACCTCTAGACATCTTATTCCATGAATATTTTTCCACAAGATTTCTTTTGTCTATCTTTGAGAAACTGTATAGATATTACTAACATTGAACACTGAATAAAGAACTGGATGTTCTCTATGCAATAAAGAAATGAACAGCGCAGAAATACCAGAGGTTTTGAACTGTCAGTATAAGTAGGAATATAGATATGGCAATTCTTGCAAAGCTGTAGTATGTTATTCTAAACTTTCCTAAAAGTATTGTTGTTTCAGGCTTTTCATTTTTTTTCACACAATAACTCCTACAACCCAAGAAATATTTTCTAAATAACTGTGAAAAAAAATAGACTTTTCTGCAGTACATTCTAAGCTTTACAAGGAAGAATTTGATAAGCTTAAAATAATTATGAACAAATTATTGTCTACAGTTAATAGTGGGAAGGAAATAGAGGTGGTGGCTACCTCAAGATGTCACAAGTAGACCACTAGTACAGGCAATTTGAGTCAATGTAACTGATCCCTTTGAATTTTAAATTCATAAAACAATTTAATAAATTGATAGATGTTTTTTAATTTGGCTGGAAATACAAACAAACAATCATCAAGTCTTAATCTTAACTCAGTCACAGTAATCTTGCTGTTAATTCTCTTGAGCAAGAGTCAAAGGACCATATATGAAAATGGGGGAATGTAGAAATTAATGCATAAAGACCAAGTAAACTCTGGTTGACATATAAATTAGCATCTCTTCCTTGCAGAAGGGAAGGAAGTATGGAAGCACACTTTTGCCATTTGGCAACCCAAGCTTCTTATCTTTCTTTTTTCCTCCTTCATTTTATTTTTTTTTTCTTCCCATTCATCAATTGCAAAGTAACTTATAAAGATGACACTCTCAATTATTAATCATGTATCATTCAAGTCTGGCAAGCAAAATAAGAGAAATAAAAATGCACAGAAGGCTTAGAATTAAATCCCACCTTAGTAGTTTTACCTAAAAATAGTTAGTTCCTGTATCAGCCACATCCTGTTGATTAAATCACTGAAGTACCCAACTAGAATTCTAAATATCCACAAACCATAAGGCATACTCACTTTAAAAAAATGGTAATAATTTTTGAATGATTTGATGTGATCCCACTGAAATTCAGCTGTTATCCCTGCCACACAAGTACAAAGAGAGAAAGATTGTGCTGTCCAAAGTGTATGTAAAGTCATTCAATGGTTGGATTTGTCTGGCCAGATTACATTAAGAAGACAAAAGTGATCTTACTGAGAAAGCCTGATTGGATTTCATTAAAACACAAAGTACCCTAGGAATAAAGATCCACGTAAATTGGAAAATCTGTCAATTTTGAAAATACTGATTTATTCCGAGAGAGGAAAAAAAGGTGGGAGAACTGAACTCCTAGGTTTATTTGTTCTTCCGTATGATCTTCTTATAAGAAAAAGAAGGCATTGAATCCCTTTCTCTAAGACTGAGTGTAAATTGCAAGATTTTGATATAGTAAGGGTGGTTTCTGCAGGAAGAGAGAGGACTGCCCCATGGCAGACACAACTGATTCTAGCAAGCTTAAATAGACCCACTGCTGGCCAAGGCTGAGTCCATGGGAAAGCATGTTATTAAGAAAGGTCAGCAAATGCTGATAAGAAAGAGCTCACAAATTCTCAGTTGCAGAGTGCATGATACGATGTATGACTGATTTTTTACATTTCAGAAAGTCTTTCTGGCTGTGACAAAATATTTTTACAAATGTTCTTGATTAGATCTCAGAGGCAAGTTACTCTAAAACATATATCATGTGTGATTCACTTTCTAAAGTGTGTCTTCCTTCCTGCCTCATTCCAGGTTAAAGTGAAAATCAAAATGGTACTGCCTAAGTGGTCCAGGATTTTGAGTTT